CACGCCCAGAATCAGAGATGCTCACATTGCGGCGGTTCATGCGCGAGCACACTCACACACACTCACACAGAGGATCGGTGGAGACACAGGCACCCACGACTCACAGACTCACATGTACCTCAACACGCACAGGCGTCGGTACATAAACTCAAGCCCCAGAGGCAAACACACCCAGTCTCCAACCCCGTCAGCAGCGAACTTGTGAGGGGCACTCACAGCCACACTGTAAAGAACCTGGGCTGTGCTTGACCTTCTCGCTCTCTCTCTCCAACCCAGAATACAACAGGGCGTATGCGGATCTCCACGGATGCCTTACAAACCATCATGTGTCAGGCTGAGCCTCCTTATCTTTGAGAACGATGCCCGCTTAGCTCCCCAGACCCCTTTTTTATTGGGAGACACCTGTACGCGGATCCAATGGCCTCAGGACGCACACTCTCACACCTTGGTCACGAAACTCCCAGAAAAGTGTGCTGTGGAGTCCCCTGCATGCCCCCCACCCACCGGCATGGGGGTGGGGGAATTCGCATCTTGCTGGTGCCCACAATGCATGCCCTCCCCATCCAGCCCATATGGGCACATCCTTGCGGGATGGGCTGTGCCACCCACAGAGCTTAAGAAAATAAGATATTATTCATTCCTGATGGAGGCCAAAGGAAGTGAGCGGTTGCCCGGGCTGCTGCCAGCCACACGCAGACATTTGGGCACACGGCGAAGACGTGGTGATGTGGGATGAGGATGAGAATGCTGCCACCAGGCTGTCACCATCCCCCCAACCCCCAGCCTCTTAGCAGTTCATATCCCATGGGCGTCGGAGGGAACTGTGTTCCATAGAATTTATGTATGTATGTCTTTTTTAACTAACTTTTAATTGTGAATTGGGTACAGGCTTACAGAGCAGATCACCCTTGTCCATTCAACAACTCAGGCATCTTCTAGTCCAGCTCATCCGTGCCCCGACCCCCCCCTCAAGGGACCATCACTTCTCCCTCGGCCTCTGAATTTCCCATTCCTCCTCCCTCCCAACCCTTAAATGTGGGGTTGAGTTCCCATCTGCCCCGACGGGGAGGGGAGGTGCCGAGCTGAGACACGGGGTTGGTTTTCAGGGGCGTTTGTCAGCAGTAGGTCACCAGGTGCCTGTGGGTGGACTCGAACTGCCAATCGTTTGGCTACCAGTCGAATGTGGTAACTGTTTGCCCTGCCCAGGCTCCTACAGTTGGTAGCAGCCATTGATTATCTCCAGGGTGTCAGGCATGGTGCCATGTACTGGGGCCACAGAGGTGATTAAGACCACCCCCTCATCCCCGGGGGAGGCGACCTTGTTGAGTCCACACAGAGAGAGAGGTAAGAGGGCAGCACACAGGTATCCTTTAGTGTGACAGGTGCAGGGAGGATGCACTGGGACACCGTGAGGGAGGTGTAAGTTGGACGAGCAGGGTGAGAGCATTGGGAAGGGCCTTCCGGTGACCAGAGCCTCGGTCGGACACCCAGGTGGACCGTGCTAGTACCCCGAGGGGAGATGAGCTTCTTGATCTTCGCACGCCCCGGCCACTGCTGCTCACCTGCAGGCCACTCGATGGCAGGGACCTCTGCGTACTGATGGTGCCCCTTAGGACGGGCCGATCCGAAGTCTACCGTGAGTGAGCACGTGCGCACGCGCGCATGCGCATCCCTCCCCCTACCCCCAGCTGCACCTGTCTCCTCGTCGTCGGGCACTGGAGCCCGCAGGTCAGTGCCCTTTCCACCTGGTGCTTCTCCGGGGCTCTCCTGAAGGCCCGGGCCAGGCCCCTGCCCGGTAGGGCCTGTCTTCTCCCTCCGGCTGCGGTCAGGCCCTAGGGGCTTGTGGGAAGAGGAACAGATAGTGAGGGGTGGGGGCAGTGAGTGGGGAAGGCAGCAGAGACTGGAGGCAGGTAGTGATTTTGTTCTTTTATTCTGTACAAGTGGGGAGAGAGCCCCCTGGGGCTAGAGGGACAGAGATCCGCCCCCCTCCCCCAGGGGAGGAGAGGAGACAGGGCCCCCCCACCCCAAGCTCTCTGTGGAGTGGGACAGTGAGCACGCCTCTCCCCAGGTTGCTCCATCCCCTCCTGTTCCCAGTCTCCCGCCCTCCCTGAGCTTGCCCTGCCCTTGTGGGGCGCGGGGGCTGACAGAGAAGCCCGGGGCTGCAGGGGCCCAAGGGGAGGGGGGCTGACTCTTTGTGAGGCACATGTAGAAAGGAGGGCTGGGGAGGCTGCCGCCGCTGTCAGTCTGTTCCAGGCTCGCTGGTTCCTGCTGGGGACAAATTCAGGGGGGCGCTGTTTCCAGGGCAGGGAGAGTCAGCTATTTGGGGGGAATGACAGGCAGATGGATGGGCAGGGGACCCTGCCTCTCTCTCACCTTCCCCAGGGCCACCTGTGGGGTCAGGGGGCCTCCTCCGATCAGGTTCTAGCTTGTCACAGGACTGCGCGCGCCGCGACCTCTTGGGCTTCAGTGGGGCAGTCCGGCGGCCCAGCTCAGGCGGCACTGGAATGATGGTCATTTTGGTGGCAGGCCTGGCACGTGAGTGCCCACCCGCCACCGAGGCACTTGCTCCTTCCAGGCCCCTGGGCTCAGCAAGGTTCTGGAGGTGTCCTGAAGTGTGCCCCACCCCCACCCCCACCTCTAGCCAGGGTCCAGACCTTGGGCTTCCGGCTCCTCTTGGTCTTGCTGTGAGCCCAGCCCCAGTCGGGGTTTGCTCCCTCCGTGGGGGGCTACACTCCCCGTCTCAGGCTCTTCCCTGCTCCCTGGCTCCTGGGGAGGCCGCCAGCCCCTGGGTACAGCCACTGGCTTGGGGGGGCGTGGGGCTGGCGGGGGCTCCTGCAGTCAGTGGGTAAGGCAGACGTTGGGTCAGTTAGCCCCTCTGCCTGCCCCTGGTGACGGTGCCTTCCCCATGCCCCCTTTGCTGGCCCTCACCTTGGCGTTCCTGGCTGGCACCGTCCTCTCAGGGTACAGGGCCCCCTCCTTCTCCTTCCCATCTCGGGAGGCTGGGCTGGGGCTCTGGCAGCTGTGGCGGGGAGCACTTTCCTCAGCTGTTGGGGGGATGGGAGGAGAAGCTGTAGGAAAAGGCATTCTTGCACAGCAACCCTCCCTGCCCGCAACCTCCAGCTGTGGACACCAGGACTGGGCCCCTCCAAGCTCACTTGCTCCCACATCTCTACGCCCCCTTCTGCTCCCATAATTCCTTAGCCTGTGTCCCCAGGATCATCCTGAGCCCATCATCTCGAGGGGTGGGGGGCTCTGGCCTGGATGTAGAGCAGAACCCCAATTTGAGCAGAACCCCAAGTCCTTTCCTTCCAGGACAGAGCCAGAACTCAGGGCCTTCTGGGTCCACAGGCAAGGCTGGCCCATCCAGAGCTGCAGTGCCCTGGGCCCTGTCAAGGCTGAATGCTGGCATTCCCAGAACTGTCTGCCAGTCTGATGGAGATGAGGGGAGGCTCGAAGGGGGTGGGTGCCCCGGCAGCACCTCTCCCTTCCACTCCCATGACTTTAAGCAATGAATGTGGGCCCAGTGACTGACACCTGGAGTGTGTTGTCCATGTGCACCTGTGGGCTATGTGAGAGAGGCATGGGGGTGCCGACAGTAGGTATGGGGGTGCAAGGCCTGACTACTGTGGTCTTGTGAAGGCTGGACGGAGCCCTGCCGTGGAAGGCCTGGCTACTTTCTAAGTGGGATGGGAAGCTTGGCCCTGGTGCTCCAAGTGCTGAGTTGGCCTTGGAGGATGGGACAGCAGCATGGGCACTGATGCCAAGCCTGGCACTGTACCCAAGGGGGCAGTTCCATGGGGACCATGTAGCCCAGGCCCAAGGCAGACCTGCCCGCTCCTCTCTGAGCTCATCCCACTCTGGTGGCATGGCCTGGGTGGGGCAGTAAGTGGTCTGTGTGTCCGCAGGGGGGTTTCAGCCAACCCAACAGCCTTTGAGGGTCACACTCCAGGGCGTGCATGGAACGGGAGCCGATACCGGACTGGAACGGGGTTTCTTTAGTACCCCTCGACCCCCATTTGCACACTCCAAGCTGGAAGGGGTTCTGAAGCCAGGAGCAGAGGAGGATCGCCACACTGGAAATAATCCTCCCCCCCTTTCTTCCTCCAGGGCCAGGAAGCCAGAAATGACGTGATCTGTTGACAGCCAGTCCGGCCCGGGGCAGATGCTCAACGTTTCTGATGGTCAAGCCAGGGCTCTTGCTTGTTGGCAGCACCCTGCTGTCCAGAGGGCTCTGAGGACAGGCTGGGAGAGCGGCTGGGACACTGAGGTGGGCATGGTGTGGACGGCACTCGCCAGCCTCTCGGGGCAGTCAACCTCTTGTTCGCCGTGGGGCTGCTAACTGCAAAGTCAGCAGTTCCAAACCACCAGCCACTCCTCTGGAGAAGGATGGGGCTGTCGACTCCCCTTAAGAGTTACCGTCTTGGAAACTCACCGGGGGCAGCTGGCAGTGGGTCGGGGGTGTGTAAGGTGCAGAGGGAGGCCTTTTTTCTCGATAGGGCTCTCTGCTGACGGTGACCAAGGGCCCAGGGCAGAGGGGCCATCCATGCAGTGCAGTGGTGAGGCAAGGCGAGGGTGGGGCCATTGGTGCTCTGTAGACCCTGCCGCTGGCTTGGGCATGGGATCTAGATGCAGCTTTCTAAGCAGCCTGAGGCAGTTTCACTGGGTTGACTACTTGATACCCCACCTGGCTGTGACCCCACCCCCACAGCCAGTGCAGGGCCATGGTCCCACTGGCCCTTCAGTGCTGCCCCATCCCCCCAGGAGGGGCTTCTCATACCTATGTGCCATGTGGCCTCAGCTCGGCGCATGACACTGAAGCTTGGCTTGGAACTTTGGGGTGGGGGAGGCGGCTTCCAGGCTCCAGGCCCTGGAAATGGGAGTGGGGAATGGAAAGGAGGGAAAGGCAATTTAGGAGGTACCCCACCCACCCACCCCCAGAGAGGGGACGCATGGCAGGGGAGTGAGGGCAACCGTTCTTACCTGCGTCATCGGAAGAACGCCTTTTCTGCCAGGCCTGGGCGCTGCCGCCCTCCAGGTCTGGGCCCGAGCTCTGGAAGGAGAGCGGACTTGGGTCATAAGGCAAGTTTCCCCTACCCCCCACCCCTCGATCCCATGAGCACAGCGACCCCTCTGTTCCACACTGACCACTAGGTACTCAGACTGTGCTTTCTAGGAGGGTCACCAACCCGCGGCAGCCAAGGGGCACAAGAGACGATGTAAATGGATTCCCAGATAAAATGACTGTCATTTTAGTGGGTGTGCAGTAGATACAACACAACTCGCACACACCACACGTTCTGCTGCTGTGAGGAGGACAGTGCTTAGATCCAGACTGAGTTAAAGTAAGAAAGACAGAAAGGCAAGGAAAAGGTGAGTTGATTTAAAGAAAAAGATGATGTAAAGAGAACACGGGTGGTAAGTGGAAAGGAGAAAAACCAAGTCACTGGCACGAGGCAGCTCTAGAGGTATTTAGGGGGCCCATTTGCAACAGGCGAGAAGAGGCTGCACCGGTGGGGAGGTTGGTCAGGGATCACAGTGCGTGTGTGACACGGCAGGTGAGCTAACACTTTCCCATGCCAAAGTCTCTGCTCTGTCCACTCAGCGGCCACTCCTGGGGCGGGGCCGCAGACAGGGACTTCAGGCTCCTCACCTCTCGTTTCCCATCGAAGCTCCAGCCCTTGGCTCTCCCCAGTCCCGGCAGGGCAACAGCATGGACTCGATTTGGCTGTTGTGACGCCCCAAGGGCAGGCACCCCCTCCCCAGGCTCCGACACCTCTGTCCCCTGGAACAAGGTCTCAGGGTGACACGCAGTCCCAGTTGAGTAGGACCCCCCCCCCCAACCGTTGGGTAGCAGGAGGCCACCCCACCGAGCTCCCAATCCCGGGAGTGTAGGGGCAGAGGCCCTGTCCAGACTACCAGACTTCGGCCCCTCCAACCATCCTCATTTGCACATCGCACCCCCAGCATGCTCTGGGCCACCGCGTGGGATCGGAGTGACCCTCATTCTTTGTTTGGCTCACACATTACCTTGGGTAGGAGTCGGGGTGGGGGTGTGGGTGGGGCAGGAGAAGGGGAAGACACCCCTCCCCTGCCTCACTTACCATCTTTCTGTGGAAGGAAGGTCCCCGGCCCCCTCCAAATCCAGGGAGGAGGCTGCTCTCCTCCTCGGGGCTCCATCAGGAAGCCGGGTTACTGCCGAGGCTTGGGGTGTCTGGGCTGGGGGGGCTCTCCTGAGTCGGGGGTGGGGGTGGGGGCGGGGGGAGGAGGAGACCGGTGGTGGGGGACCCGGGCCCTCTCTCGCCCTTGAAGCTGCGGGGTCGCCGGAAGTGAAACAGGCCCCGACGCCTCTTCTTCTGGAGCGGAGGCAGCGGCGCTTCGGGGAGGCCAGGCCGAAGGGTCCTCAGAGTCCGCGGGTAGCTGGGTAGAGCGAGGGGTGGGTTCGTGACACAGCCAGGTGCTTACCTGAAGCCACTCCAGTTGGTCCAGCCTGCTCTTGAGCCCCATTGCGGTCAGTCCTCCTGGGCGAGAATTCCTTCCCTTCCCCACCCCTGTCACACCGTTCCTTTGGAGCAGATGCTTAGGGCCGGGAGTCTGTCTCTGCAGAGCCAGAGACATTCCCTTGGGGCCTCTTCCTGTTCACTGTCACCCCCTCTGTCCCCACCTTCCCACTGTGGTGGTGCCTTCTGATCCCCTCCTGTCCAGTGGTCATGGAAATGTCCCAGTGGCGAGGACATGGGGAGGCCGAGATGCCTCAGGGCCTGCTGGGCATGGGGTCTAGCGACCCACCTGGAACTTTCATCCATGACCCTTCGACTGAAGAAGTCTTCTAGCCCCTCGTCCAGGCGTGTGGCCATCCCGTTCTCCTGACGAGGCCCAGGCCCTGCCACCTGCTGGGAGCCAAGGCCTCTGAACGTGGACTAGCTCAGCTGGCTCATGGAGTCCCAGTCCCAGGCTACTCAGGGCTTTCCCCTTTGAACATCGCAACCTGTGGCTCCTCTGGGCCCCATGGCAAGGTAGACTTCAGCCCGCCCGGTCACTCCTTGATTGGGTGGCTCTGGGCTCTGTCCTTCACTCACATGAGAAACCCCACTCTCTGGCAGACAGAGCCTTCCCATAGCTCCCATCTGAACAGGACAGTCCCACCTCTGTTTGGTGACCTGCCAGGGCTCCTGCCATGCCCCCAAGGCATGTTGCTGGTCTCTGTGTCCTGAAGCTAGAACACTGGACTTCCGACTCTGGCACTGCTAAGTGAAAGCGGCACGCTTGTGAGGCCCTGGAGACTCACACTGGGCCGACCAGGTCCGGGAGGGGTGGTCCTGGGGGGCCGGGGCCGCCCTTGGGTTTGATGCCTCAGTTTATAGCCGTGAGTAGGCAGCTCCGATAGACCTTCCCAGGAGCCACTACTTGTGGGCTGGCTGCTTCCAAGGCCAGAGAACCAGCCAGGGGGGATTCCCAGGCTCCCCAGCTGGCCTTCCATGTCCTGAGGGCTCCCACCTGTGGGGAGAGTGGCGTGTTTGAGGGCCCAAAGGCAAGGACAGGGCGGGAGCAGGGCTGAGGGACAGAGGAGACAGGTGCAGGGCGGGGTAGAGGCACTGCGGAGCCTGGCAGATCCTGGAGGGGAGGCTGGCCACTCACTGATGAAGGCGGACACTGGGCGGATCTTTCGGCAGCGCTTCTGCTTCTTGATGGCCATGGTGTCCTGCAGAGATGGAGGCCAGTGGTGAGGTCACCTCACAGCTTCCCAGAGCCTCTGCTCCTCATGAAGGCTTTTCTCTAGGAAGTTCATCTGCCGCCTCCTCCTCCCCGGTGGGAGGCAGCGAGAGGTCAGGCTGGGTTGGGGCTGGGGACAAGGCCTGGCCCCGGAGGGGTCGAGTGTAGTCCAGGTACGTGGACGGGGGCAGTCTGTGGCAGGGCCAGGGCTAAGGGTATGGCCCAGGCTAAGGTGGGGGAGGGGAGTCACAGGGGATGGACTCACAATGTTGGTCCCAAGTTCATCATCTGTGGTCTCCTCATGGTCATGGCTCCGGCCCCGGCCCCGGGAGGACAGATCCTGTCCTTGGCCTGGCCCCCCTGGTGGATCTGACAGGGTCCTTAGCTGGGTGAGGTGCCGGGCCTGGGGAAGAAACGCAGTGACAGAATCTCCAGGCAGCTGCTCACCTCCCGGAGCTGTGTGTGCATTGGCGTGGGGTGGGGGGGTGAGGTGAAGGGGTGCAGGGGTGCTGTGCAGTCTCACCAGACTCTTGTGCGAGTGGTACAGCTCCTGCAGGATCTCGTCCACGATGGAGTTGGTCAGGTAGGTGACGACGGAGAGCTTCACTTCACTGTGGGCGCAGACAGAGCCGCTCAGCACCTCCCGTCCCAGAGCCGGGCCCACTGCTCTGGAAGTCCACTCACAGCCTCATAAACACACACCCAGCCTGGGTCACTAGTTCCACCGGACTCGATTTGTGAATATGGGGAGAGTGGGCACAAGGGGACGTGGAGGAAAAGGAGGAGGGAGAGTCTCCGGGTTGGGTCTGGCGCCTGATGCACCTGGGGGGGCGGGGCTTGAACTCCCTGCCATCAGTTCTGACTCGCAGAGACCCTACAGGACAGGGTAGAACCGCCCCTGTGGCATTCCAAGACTGTCACTCTTCTCAGGAGTAGAACGCCTCATCTTCCTCCTGCAGGGCAGCCGGTGGTTTCAAACTGCTGACCCTGTGGTTAGCAGCCCAAAGCAGAACTCTCTAGGCTGCCACCGGGGAGTAGAGCTAAGGTCAACTGGGGTGCCGAGTGCACGTCACGGGGTTGCTGCTATGCGAGGAGCAGCCTAGGCTTCCCGAGTCTGGTGTTCCAGGGTATACGTCATTGTCCTCCTTGGCCCTCTCTGGTGAGTCAGCATGGCAACCGGGTTCCACATGAAAGGATGACAAGTGGGGGGAAGGGAGCATAGGACACGCACCCCCCCCCTCTTCTTGGCCTAGACTTTAGAGGGGGCCACCCTTTGTGTCTAAGAGGGGGCTCTTGGTGTACATGTGGGTCTGCGGGGCACACCTGTGCGCTTGCCATCCTGGCTCCTCCACCCGGATTCCTAGGGCAGAGACCCATCAGATCCTAAATAGCAAGGCTGCCTTTGGTTAAAGATTTATCCCTAGTAATGGAGGCTAGCCATTCATTATTCATCGCTGATAGCGCCAGGGCCCCAAGTTCCTAAGTGCTCTGGGCCAAATCCAGCCCGCCCCCCACCCCCCCAACCCTGGAGGGCCTGGCCCGACTCTCACTCCAGCTTGTTCTGAATGTCCTGCCCCGCCTGCTCCAGCAGTGCCCCTCGGATGAAGTTCCGGGGCACAGTGACACGCTCGGCCACGTTGCTCAGCATCTTGTTGTGCCCCTCTGCCACACGCATGGCCACGGGGCATAACTCCTGCGTGAGGCTGACCATGGACTCCAGGATCACCTACAGTCGGCGGGAAGGGAGGCCAGAGCTGCGAGGTGGCATCAGGGCCGGCCGTCTGCCAGCAGCAGAAGCGTTAGGCTGTCTATCCCACTTCCCACCCCACCCTGTCCAAGGTCACAGCCCGGAGTGGTGGCGGCGCCATTGCGGACACGACGCTTTCCCACATTCCGGTCTGCATTCCCTGTTCCCTTTATGCTACGACATAGGCGGGGGAGAGCCAGTCCAAGGATCAGACTCTGCAGTGGAGAGTTCAGAGTTCAGGGGCCAGGGGTGCAGCCTGCAGAAAAACAACTAAGCCTGGTTTGGAAGCAGAGCCTTGGCCCAGTGGGAATGTGGGCGGTTCTAACTCGGCCTGGCCTTCCTGTCTTCTGGGCTTGCCACCCTGGCTCCCTCCCTCCTCCAGGACTTGCCTGCAGCTCCTTGTCCACGGCCTTGGACACCTCACTGGCTACTGACTCCAACCTCTGTCGCACAGGCCCATCACTGGCCAGCACGTGGCCCAGCTCGTAGAGGCTGGGAAAGAGCTGTGGAAGGAAGTGGGTGCTGTCAGAAAGGCTTGCATCAGGCTTTCCAGGCTCCCTGGGGACCCCAGGGGGAGGTGCTGGTGTGCGTGCGCGCATGTGCGCAGGCAGCTGTCTCCAGTGCTCACCGCCCGGGAGTTCTTGGCGTCCTTGATGAGGTCCCGCGCATAGAGCAGCTCGTCCTGCACCGGCTCCAAGGGGCACAGCCGCAGGGCCCGCACCTCCTCCTGCACACGGCCGCACAGCCGCTGCAGCATCTGCGGCAGGCCAGCGTCAGTATCAGGGGGCGGCCGGGAGCCGCCGTCCTGGCTGGGCACCAGGCACCCCATTTCTGGGGAGCTGGAGCCGATGTCCCTGGATGGCCCGCTCTCTCACTCCTCCTTGGGGGCATAGACTTGCATGCCAATCGGGCTCCCAACAGACCCACATGCTCCCTTGCCTGTGTGTCCCCTGCCGCAAGCCACATGCCAGTGCCTGTCTGGGGCCCACGTGCTAAGAACGGCCTGCCTTTCTGTTCCCTGGCACGCCCAAGCTCAGTCCAGTGGACGCAAATCGACCCCCTTTGACCGCCCTCCCTCCCACGTGCTCTGTCCCCTAAAGTTGTGGCCCGCGTGCTTGTGCTGTGTGCCCAGGGCTCCCCGAGGGAAACGTTTACTTGCTCGGCGCTGCTGGTCACCAGGCCCTGCTGCAGCCGGAAGGCCTGCTCCTGGGGGCACGTCTGGGAGTGGTTATTCCTCACCAGGCACCACTGGATCTGGGGGTGGAGGGGGTGGCAGGGTCAGGGCAGGGCCTGGGGGCTCCCCCTGCCCCTGGCACTCCCACCCTGCCCGGGCCACACCTTCTGCCAGATGTCCTCCGTGCGCTCCGGGGCACTGCGGTAGGCTTGGGAGATGTCGCTCACCGGGAAGGACATGAAACGCAGGGTGTGGTTGCTGGTAGCACAGCCAAGTAGGTGGCAGGTGAATGGGGGGGGGATGGGGGCTACCTCTCCCCCAAAGACCCACCACCCATTGCGGACCACACCTCCTCCGTCCTTCTACCCCAGCCCACTTCCCGGCCCTTGCTGTCGGTTCTGGGCCGACACGCTGAGTGGGCTGTTGTGGGCCAGGTGGTCCAGGTACAGGGAGGCTGGGGGCTTGGGTCCGTGCTGCCCTGGCCCACTCACTCACCTCTCTAGAGCCCTGGCAATGTCCAGGAAGCCCAGTGCAGATGTATTGTTCCGGTCCCACAGGATGGTTCTGGAAGGAGGGCAAGCTTGTCACCCCTCCTTCTAGGGACCCATGGGGGGCGGGGAGGAGCTGCCCCCCCACCCCCCACTTTCCTCGGAAAGCAGGCTGAGATGGCGTGGGGGCTGGTTCTCCTGGTCGCTCGGGTACAGAAGCAGGAAGCCTGGCCAACAGGGCCAGGTGGGCGGGCGGCCGGGCTCCGGGCCCCACCTGAGGGAGGAGTTGATCTGCAGGGCTTTGGACAGCATCTTGGCCCCGATGTCCTCCATGCTGTTGCCGCTCAGGTCCACCTTGGCCAGACAGGTGTTGCTGCCCAGGGCGTTGATGAGGATGCTGGTGCGAAGCTTCAGCCTGGAGTCGGCCACTGACAGGGACTGCAGGGACTGCAAAGGGTGATGGGCGGGGCTTGGGCCTCATCCCCGCAGCCCCCAGCCCGAGGGGTCCCGTGGCACCCCACCCCGCCTCCCTGTGTCACTCACACAGTCCTCTTCCTGGATCAGCTGCACCAGCTTGTGCAGGATCTCCTCCAGGGTCCTGCTCAGGGGGAGGAGCAGGGTGGTGGGGGTGGGGCACAGGAGCAGAGCCAGGAGGACGGGAGGGTCTGTGGGCCGGGCGAGGGGGCTCACTTGGCCTTCACATTGAAGTTCTTGCCCAGGAACAGGTGCTTGAGGGACTTGTTCTTGCCGAGCGCAGGTACCAGCGTCAGGAGGTCCTGATCAAACCCTGACCGGTAGGCAGGAGAGGCCTGGCCTTGAAGCCCCCCCTTGGGGGTCCTCCTCAGGTGCCAGCGCCCCCCACCCCCACTGTGGGTTCCCACTCACCATTGTCCGACAGGTCCAGGCTGCCCACGCAGGTGACCATCCCCAGCTGCTCCTGTAAGACCTGGGCTCCAGCCGAGCGGAGCTGCAGGGATACACCCGCGGTGAGGGGGGCGGGATTGGGGTAGGAGATAGAGCACCTTAAGGTTCGCCTCCGGACTCAAGGTCATACCGGGTCATGCTGGAGTGGGTGTCGGAGAGGGAGGGCAAAACCCATAGAGCCCCCTAGGGCTCTGGCCCCTTGGGTCAGAAAAACCTCCTGGCAGTGGCCACTCCTAAAGCAGCTTGCTCCTGCCCCCTGGTGGGAGAGCTTGATATCTCGCACCCCGAAGTTTTCAGTGCCAGTGGGGCTCAGGAGAAAAGTCCTTTGGAAAGAGGAACCCAGACCACAGAGCAAGGGGGCAGGGGATACTGAGGCACGGTCAGGCCAGGGGGTGGTGGGGGTGGGTCTATAGCAGGGACACATGAAAGCAAGCTGCAACTGGTCTTGGGCTTAAAGACATGATCAAGGGGAGGGTTGGGGGTGGCGCAGGGGGCTCACTTCACAGCTGCTGAGGTCCAGGTGCAGGTCACTGAGGTGACTGTTGAGGGAGAGCCCCTGCAGCAGCGCCCTGCGGGAGAAGGGTTGGCAGGCTTGCTGTTACTCCTCTCCCTGTCTGGCCAGACCCCACCCCAACCCTTCACCCACCAGACCTGAGGGCCTCCAGGGGCAGCCGTGTGGCCGACAGGTTGACGTGGCTCAGCGTGTAGGCGCTGCTGAAGAACTGTTTGAAGGCGGGCAGGGCCTCCCGACCCTTCCTGCGGAGAGCCCTGGGGTCAGCAAGGGAGTGGGGGGCCTTACGTCCTGCCTTGGCCAGCCCCTCCCTGCGCCCTGCCAACTCCCACCTGTGGGAGCAGCTATTCCGCGCCAAGTTGAGGTAGGTCAGGTGGGAAGAGCAGCCGTGGAGCAGGGCGCCCAGCAGCTGTGGGGAGAGACAAGGTGGGTCTGAGGGACTGGGAGCTGCCTGGGAGGGGTGGGCTGAGGTCTCCCCTCCTGCCTTCCTCCCCTTTGCAGCCAGCCCAGTTGTCTGTGCTTATTGTCAGTGACCACTGAGCGGGCCCCTTGTTCTTGGTGACCTGCACACAGCAGAGCACAATGCCTCCCGGCCCTGCACCCTCCCCAAGACCAGCGATGGGTCGGGCTGTGGTGATTCTTTTGCCAGTTTTTACAAGTTGATCACCAGGCCTTTCCTCCTGCTCTGTCTTAGAAGCTCTGCTGACCCACTTCAGCAACATGAAGTCCCCACTGGCAGGTGGGACTGGCTGGGAATCAAACCCATGCCTCCCTCTACCGCTAGCCATCACTGCCTCCTGGACTTAGCCTGCTAGAGCCTCAGTTCCCCTTTGGCAGGAGGGGGGTCTCCTCCCCGATGGGTGGCGGTGAGTTCCTGTCGAGTGGATCCCCTGTGTGTGGGGGTGGAACGGCTGTGGGGTCTTGAAGGCTGTGACCTTTCAGAAGCAGAACTCCTGCCCTCTCTCCCACAGCACTGCCGGGTGGGTTTGAAATGCAACCTTTTCACGCATAGGTTCAAGGGCTTAACTGTTTGTGCCACCCATTGGTGGCAGAGCGGCTCAATTACAAGTGGGTACATCAAGCTAGGGCCACCACCAGCTGATCTGCCCATGTTGGGGAGCCCTTCCTTTCCTGTAACTGGTGCTAGTGCCCACGGTGCAGGGAGTGGGGGGCGGCAGCTTTCCGGGGACAGCCGGTGCAACCTCCGGTGGCGGCTGGGATAAGGGACAGGGCAGGGGAGCCAGGGGCAGTGTATGATTCACTGCCCCGGGAAGTCAGCCTACCACCTCTGCCCTGCCTTTATCTCCTGGTCACTGGCACCCCCCACACACACTCTCACCCCTACCTCTGGACTCACCAAGTCGATGGCACAGTCAGTTCCGGACAGGTCCAGGTGCACCAGGGCGTTGGGCTGGGCCAGGAAACTGTAGAGGACCTGGGGAAGGCAGGTCCCAGGGGCTGAGGGGCCCAGAAGCCTCCCAGGCCCCGAAGACCAAGCCTGCTCCCGTAGGGGCTCCAGGCCACATGCCACCAACTCACATTGGCTTCCTCCGTGGCCAGCAGCCCGGGGTTCTTGCTCAGGTCCAGGTATCGAAGGGAGCTGGCAAAGGCTGGATTGGCCCCGAAGGTCTGGCCCAGCGCCTGGAGCCCTGGGCACAGCAGGCACTGGGCTGGGTTGGTCCCCATTCCCACCTCTCCACACTCCACAACTCAGGCCTCCTCCCATGAGGGGATCCTCTCTCCCCTCCCACCTCCGACTGTCCCTGGAACGTTGTGTGAGTGCAGGAGTATGCCTCGGGGGTTTCAGACCCCCGGGGAGGGCCAGGCTCTGAGGTCAGGGGTCTGGGCATGAGTACCTCGAGGGGAAATGGCAGTCTTGGCCAGGCACAGTTTGGTGAGTCCAGTGGGGAAGCAGAGCAGCTGCTGGCTGAGACTGAGGAAACCTGTGGGCGGAGAGCAAGCCGGGCGGTGCTGAGGGGTGGGCAGGGGACGCAGGTGGTGTGGAGAAGGCTGGGGGCTGGAGGAGGGCTGGGGTGGGGTAAGGGGCCGAGTCAGGCTGGAGAGCCCCTGTTCAGACCCTGACTGGGTCCTGGGTGAGGGCATGGGAGTAGAGTAGGACCCAGGGCTGGGGCTCACCCTTGTCGTCGATGGGGTTGTGGGATAGAGTGAGGGCATGCAGCACACAGCTCCTGTTCTCGCCAAACACTCCAGCCAGCTTCTGGACAAAGTCCCTTCAGGGAAGAGCAGGAAGGATTTGGTCTGAGCTGGGCCCCTGGGCTTCTCCCCCTCTGCTTCCTCCACCGGCTGGCCTGGGGCAGAGGTCCTCACAGGTGGGAGGTGTGGGAACACTTAGGAGGCTGCCAGAGAACTTGGCACCACTCCAGAGTGCCTGGGGACATCCCACACCTGGGGAAGCCCAACTCAAGAGTCCTCGAGTTGAGAGCAGTCCATCCTGTCAGGGGCGGGGGCCCTGGTGCATACTGGGGCAGGGCCATGGAGCTGGGGGGCAGGAGGGTTTAGGTCTTAGTGCCATGGTGACCACTGACTTGCTGTGTGCCCTCTTTGGGCCCCATCTCCTCTTGTGCACAGAGGCAGTCCAGAGGCTCAGCATGCCCTGAAGTTCTGGAGCCCTACAGCTGGCTACCGAGGGGGACCTCTGCCCAGTGAGGAGGCTGTCCTCACGTCTTAAGCCCGGCGCTGTCCAGCACCAGCTCTTCCAGGCTACCAGACTTGCTCAGGGTATGTAGCACCTGTTCCAGCACTTCGGAGCCCTGGGGACCGAGAGGGGCCTGCAATCAGGAGCAGGGAAGGACGACTGTCCCCACATCCCAACCCCGGCCCCTCCAGGTCCCTACCAGCCGCAGGTCCTTGCAGTAGAGTTTGGTGAACCACTGGTTGTAAGCCAGGGCTGCCACCATTAGGGCCAAGTCCCTGTGGACAGATGGAAGGGATAAGGCCCGTGGTGAGCAGACGGCTGGGCTGGGAGAGACTGGCTGGGTAGGCGGCAGTGGGTGCTCCCTTGGGGAGGCAGGGTTGGGGCTCTGGGTGGGACCAGAAGGGAGATCCCGGGAAGGGCCAGGCATAGCAATGAGACTGGGGACCTGGGGGTTGAGTCTCCGCCCGTCTCTTACCGGCTTTCCAAGTGGCTGAAATCCAAAAGATTGAACTCCCGGTTATCCTCGGCATGGTAAATGGTGTCCACATCCTTGGAGAGGTGGAACGGGCTCACGCCTGCTCCCCTCCTCCTCTGCCCCCTCCCGCTGGGCCCCACCTGCCCGCCTGCTGGGCCCCTGGCCAACGCACCCACTGCACCTCCTCACGGCAGGGCAGCCCATTGTAGTCACACAGGGCGGCGTAGGTCTCGGAGAAGCCACCTGTGAGGCCGGAGATGGGCTGGGTCCATGAAGGGGAAGGGGGCAGGGTCAAGGAGAGCTCAAGGCCACTTTTGTCCCCGTGCCTCTGTGTCCCTGCTACACCACACACCTACGGAGACCTCACGGGGTCTTCAGCCTAGGCAGGCTCCCCAGCCCCCTCCAAAGGGCTCTGGACATCAGCCGGGGGTGGGGGCAGGGGGTGTACGCTGGGGGCTCACCGCAGACACTGTGGGTAGTAGACGTGGATGTCTCCGAGTTGGGGGATGTGTCTCGGGGCCCCTCTGGCGTGTCTGCATTTCCTCGCCGGATAAGACACCTGCAAGACAAAGAAGCCCACCCAGAGAGGAGTGGGAAAATGTTCTGCCCTGTTTCCCCAGGTGGTACCTTCTGGGTCCCCAGGTCCCCCAGGAGCTGCCCAGGTCCAAGGGAAGCAGAGGAGAGACCCCCTGACGGTCCAGCCCCTTTAGACACTCCTCCTTTGGCACTCACCCAGGGCCTGGGCAGACCTTGGAGAGGGCAGAGCTCACGTGTCGGGTCACCTGGTCCACGCTCTCAGCCGAGGGCAGCCGCATGCTCACCAGGCCACGCTCTGTTTCCACCAGGATCTGGGGATGAGGGAGTGGCAGGGCCTGAGGCACCACCTCCTCCTCTGGCAGGCCCCCAAGGTGGGCCGGTGGGTGGGCTCCTAGCCCCAGGACTCACCAGGTTCTGGCTGAGCGTGTTGAAGGCGCGGATCTCCAGGACATTGAAGGAGCTCTCCACCTGGGAGGGTGTGAGGACTGTTCAGCTTCCTCGGCAGGCCTGGCTAGCCAGGCCCTGACAGGGGGTAGGCTGGGCATTTCCCCTCCCTAGTCCACCTCACCTTGGCTGGGACCTTAAGGGGGAAGAGGTGGAGGCGCCAGGAGGTCAGGGCCTGCAGAGAGAGCAGAATGTTACCTCTGGCTGAGCTGCTGCCTGAGCCTGGGGCTCCTGCTGCCTTGAAGTTTCCTTAGCCCGTGTGCACCCACTGCCAGCAGCCACCCAGCTCTCGGCCTGACAGTACTTCTCGTACCCAACTTCAGGCTTCTGGACATCAGTCCGGTGCAGCCCAGGCTTGGCTCTCCCCAGCCCTGGCCTGCCTCTGTCTCCCAGGCTTGCTACCGTCCCCAGTCACAGACATACCCTTGGCCCAGTCCCAGCCCCAGCCCCACTGCCCTCACCAGCACGCGGTCTTCAAACTTCTTGGGCTTAGTCTCCAGCTTCACGCGATGCTGTTGGAGCACAGCTCTTTGGCTCAGGCACCTCCGGATGCTGTCTGCAGGTGTGTGTTTGGGGGGGCACCTGCTTAGTGCTCCCTCCACCCCCGCCAGCTCCTCCCTCTCCTCCCCAGGGGTCTCAGAGGGAAGGCGGGGCAGGGAGCTGGGGTAGGCGCACAGAGAGAGAAACAGAGAGATGGGGGACAGTGGCAGGCAGACTTATTTCCTCCTCGGGCGCTTTTTCTCTTTTCTTTTTTTAAGTGGGGTTCCCCGGCCCCAGAGACACAAGACATGTCTCACGCACGCGAGAGCCCATGCAGCCTAAGCGGTGGCAGCCACTGGGTTTCCACTCCCGGCGACCACTGGGACTTTTCCTCTTTTCAGAGAGGGGTAAAGTGTGGAGAAAATGCCTGATGTCCAGGGACAGTTGCTGAGTGCCACTGTCAGTGGGAGGGTGTGTCTTACACTTCTGAAAGTGTGAAGGGTAATTCCAACCCAGGCACGGCAGTGGTGAGTCAATGTGTGGGGCGCGGGGTGTCCCTTTGAGTATTTATTCTAGGTAGCCTGGGTGTACATGTGTCTCTGCCTTTTACTATGAGCATGTGCTAGCCATTGGTGGGATGGAGAAGTGTGAAGGAGTTTGCTGTGCTTGCTGTTGCAAAAGGGGCTTAGAGCCAGGAGGTTCTGGTGTGTGTGTGTGTGTGTGTGTGTAGGGGGGGTGTTGAAGGATAGGGAGGAGTTAGTGTTTCAAGGAGTCCCATACCCATCTGCTGGCAGAATCATCCAGATATCCTGTGTGTGTGTGTGTGCAGGCACGCGCGTGAGTGTGTGTGTGTGTATACATGCGTGCGCTCGTGGCGGTGCGGACTCGGGGTGGCTGTATGTACACACATCTCACGATGGTGCAGGTGTGTGTGGGGAACTGTGGGGACTCCTGGGCACAGCATGCCTCTGAGTACCCTTGAGCGTCCCGGCGTCTGTGTGGGCTAGCCTGCGCTGCTGCCGCTGGGAGACAGGGGTCTGGCCGCGCTGGGCCGTCGAGGGCTCAGTTTGGGCCGAGTGTGGGAAGCACGCAAAGAGAAGAGAGAGGACTTGAGGTGGTCAGGGGCTGTGCGCCCAGAAGCAGCAGGCTGGGCCGGGGGCCGGTGGGGGCAAGCTGCAAAGACACCACTCCTGGTTCTCGCTCGCATCCAGGGCCCTTTTCCTGACTCCCTTCTGTGCCCCACTCTCCGGAGCGCTGCCCGGCTCCGTGGGGACGGTCCAGGACCAGTTCCGGGGCGGGGCCGGGAGGAGGGAGGGCGTGGAGCCGAGCACGGTCAGCACCAGGGGCAGCTCCCACCGGCGGCGGCGAGGCGGCCTGGCCCCTCCCGGGCTGGAAAGCCGGGGCTCTCGGAGCGGACAGGGCCTGGAACACGGAGAGGCTGCCCCCCGGGAGGGCAAGGGGACTGCACCTGTCGCCGGCGAGCGGGACAGGAGGTGCGACCAGGCAGGTCCTGGCAGGGTGAGGCGAGAGGGGGCAGCGGAGGCTGCTCCGGGGCCAGCGATGCCGAGCTGGGACGCAGGGGCTGCGGCGGAGCCCGGCCGGGGTGCACGCGCGTGGGGAGGCGGCGGGAGGCTCGGCACGGGGCTGGGCGTACCCGGGGAAGAAGGCTCTGGGTTTGGGCTGTTCCCGGACGGGGCGTCCCGGAGACCGCGGCAGCCTCGTACCTTGCAGCTCGCGGGTGAGCTCCGCGCTGG